GCCGTGAAACCACACATTCTCCCACGGACCCTGGTGGAGGACACAGTCAAGATTAGGGTGGGGGCAGGAAGGGAGGTTTGGCTGCAGAGGAGTGAGGGCATCTGTGTCCCCTCTTCCACCGCCCCATGCCGGGCAGAACTGAGTTTGGCCAGCTGCTGTCTGAGGCCCTCAGCAATCCGGCTCCCGCTGGTGAGGGCCACCTCCAGTGGGTGTCGGTAGTGAATGCAGCACAGGGAGGGCAAGATGGGCACATGTGACCCTGCACAGCCAGGTCTCCACACGTCTGGCTTGCAAGACAAGCTCCGGAAGACGTCATTTCCTCTGTTCCCACAGTTGAGCATCGGGGGTATGGCCTGTGTTTGGGAGCTGAGCAGACAAGCTCTTGTGGTACAGCCAGAGGCCTCAGACCCATGCAATTGTGCTGTTAACTGTGGGGTCTCCAGGCAGTGTCACAGCCAATATTAGGCCCACGTGGTAGATGAAACTGATCAGTCACTAGCCAGAACCCAGACACATCCCTGGGCTCCTCTCTGTGTCTGGCATGAGATCTGTAGCTGGTCTTTCAGCCTGGGCATCTCCTACCTGGGGGCCTAGGTCTAAAGGGTGAGTGAGCACACATACGTGTCCTCCATGTCCAGCCTTCTCTACCCGCTCTGAGGGGTGGGTGACAGCCTTGCCTGAGCCCTCTTGGCCAGAGTGGTGACGCCAAAACTGTAGACCCCGTGTCACAGCCCGACATCCTTCTCGTGTCCCCATCCCCGGGTCCCGCTGCCTGCCTCGAGAGGGCCTCTCCCTTCATCCGCCACTCAGAGGCCCTGCCACGACCTCTGTTCTCTCTGCTCACCCACCCCAGGTCAAAGGGAAGTGTACCACTGACCACATCTCGGCTGCTGGCCCCTGGCTCAAGTTCCGTGGGCACCTGGACAACATCTCCAATAATCTGCTCATCGGTGCCGTCAATATCGAAAATGGCAAGGCCAACTCCGTGCGCAATGCCGTCACCCAGGAGTTTGGTCCCGTCCCTGACACTGCCCGCTACTACAAGGTGGGTTGGTGGGGGTTAGGGATGGGGGTCCTCTGGCACCTCCTGGTGGCTGTGTGGGGCAGTGGGTGGTTCTGGGACAGGGGGAGTCCATACCAGTAACTCTGCAGTTGAATAGTGTCCCAGTGCCATGGAGGCAGTCCCATGTCTGTCACCCCCACTGCCCTGGGCTCTCCCCGACACTGCGCCCCCCACTCACGCCTGCCTCCAGGCTGAGCACTGATGGGAGGGTCGCACCTTCCCAGGCCCACCGCAGACAGCCAGGGCCCGTGTCTCATCACGTCTTCCCAGGGCCTGGTTTGGGCCAGATTCACCTCTAACTTCACCTGTCCTTGGGGAGCAGGTGAGGAGGGGACTCTCTAGCTTCTTAACCTGTGAGCCTTAGGAAGCCCAAGCACTGTGCAGGAGGGGGGCCAGTGCCCTCCTCTCCCTCATAAACTCACTCCTTACCTTCCTGACAGGCACATGGCATCCGGTGGGTGGTGATCGGAGATGAGAACTACGGCGAGGGCTCGAGCCGGGAGCACGCGGCACTGGAGCCTCGCCACCTTGGGGGCCGGGCCATCATCACCAAGAGCTTCGCCAGGATCCATGGTGAGCTGGAGCCCCATCCCAGCCCCATCCACCTCCCCTCGCTGGCAGCCCAAGGTTCCTCAACCTGCCAGTGGCCCAGCGGGGACTGGAGCCACATGCCTGGTTCCTAGGGCGTGTCGGCAGCTCATTTTTCCACCATCACCAGCCTCCAGCCTCTGCCCCTTCAGATTTGTGTGGATTCTGACACCCACGGCTTCCCATCTCTAGCATGTACTGGTCTTGCTTCCAAACTTGTAGCAGTTGAAATCCAGGGCACGTGGTCAAAGGATTGTCTCTGATTGTCAGAGGCCTCAGGAAACACAGGCACCAAAGCACACTTGCATAGGGCCCCACGTCACTGGGAGTGCCGCCACCTTGGGCCTCGTAGTCGATGCCCCAGCTTTGTCCAGGACTAGGGCTGTCTTTCCCAGAGCCTTAACTAGACTTGGCTGGTGAGGTTCCTCCCAAAGGGAAGCTGCGGCGTGTGGACTGAGCGCGCCCTCTACCTTCCAGAGACCAACCTGAAGAAGCAGGGCCTGCTGCCCCTCACCTTTGCTGACCCGGCCGACTACAACAAGGTTCACCCTGTGGACAAGCTGACCATCCAGGGCCTGAAGGACTTTGCCCCTGGCAAGGTAGGGGGCCAGGGAAGGAGGTGGGCCAGCAGCCCATTTCCCCCAGGGCCCTCCTAAGAGGGGAGGGGAGTGGAGGGGGCAGCCACCTTGGTTCCCCTCCTAAACCTGGCCCTACCTGCGCCTCCTCCCATGAGCCTCTGTTCCAGCTAGAAGGGCCCCTAAATTCTCCAGGTAACCCCCCTAGAGAGGGAAGGAAATGCCTTCCCAGAGATGAGGGTAGAGCCAGCTCAGGCCCTCCTACCATCCACTCAGTAGCCCAGGCTTGGCACTCAGAGGCCAACAGCCCATGCCCGGCAGGACCTTCTTGGCCCCAGGAGTTAAGCCATCTAGGTCTTACCATGGCCACCGAGGCCCAGACCTGGCCTAGGACTTGGTTCGCCTTGCTGGCCCCAAGGACCCAGAGCAGTGACCCACCCTCCTGACCTCTACCAGATGGCAAGGTAGGGGGCCAGGGAAGGAGGTGGGCCAGCAGCCCATTTCCCCCAGGGCCCTCCTAAGAGGGGAGGGGAGTGGAGGGGGCAGCCACCTTGGTTCCCCTCCTAAACCTGGCCCTACCTGCGCCTCCTCCCATGAGCCTCTGTTCCAGCTAGAAGGGCCCCTAAATTCTCCAGGTAACCCCCCTAGAGAGGGAAGGAAATGCCTTCCCAGAGATGAGGGTAGAGCCAGCTCAGGCCCTCCTACCATCCACTCAGTAGCCCAGGCTTGGCACTCAGAGGCCAACAGCCCATGCCCGGCAGGACCTTCTTGGCCCCAGGAGTTAAGCCATCTAGGTCTTACCATGGCCACCGAGGCCCAGACCTGGCCTAGGACTTGGTTCGCCTTGCTGGCCCCAAGGACCCAGAGCAGTGACCCACCCTCCTGACCCTCTACCAGAACCGAGGGCCGTGTTCCCAAGAGCCAGGCCACCCACACCTGCCTCCCTCCCCCTCCTCCTCCCAGCCCCTGAAATGCATCATCAAGCACCCCAACGGGACCCAGGAGACCATCCTCCTGAACCACACCTTCAACGAGACCCAGATCGAGTGGTTCCGCGCTGGCAGTGCTCTGAACAGAATGAAGGAGCTGCAGCAGAAGTAAGGTCCTGCTCTGCCACCAGCGTCTGCCCGTCCTGCTCCTCGGACCCAGCTCCAGTGTTACGAGTGCAGTTCTGCATCACCAAAACTGGATCTGATCCAATCCAGCTGTGGCTTCGCTCACCACCGAGATGGTGTGGCCAGGCCTCCTGCCCTCTTCCCTCTGCCCATGGAGTGACCCACAGGTGGGGGTGGGGAGGTTCTTAAAATAACGTATCAACCCCCCACCTTCCTGTTTTTAGTTTGATTCAGATCTTGAGCAGCTTTGGGCAACTGTATTTATTTTTAATGACAGACTCCCATCTAAAGTTTTTCTCCTGCATGATCATTTCACTGGTGGCTGAAGGGTTCGCAAGATCCTTTTGCTCTTCTAAGGAAAATAAGAATCCCGATTCAGTGAGTGTTCCTTTGTGAGTGACGGTGTCTGTGCTGTTACCAACTCCAGCCTGTGGGGTGGGGGTCCTTCACAGCCAGGGTCAGTGGACGCCAACAGCCACGCCACAGCCGGACCCATCACCAGACTTCCCACCTTCCTTCCCGCCCTGCTTCTGCCTGTAGCCTCCCCTCCCCATGCCCACACATTCCAGTAGTTTCCCCAATGGGGGCAGGGGGGTTGGCCCAAGATGCAGCCCCCACTTCCCCTGGGCATCGAGTTGCCTTTCAAACGCCCAGAGAGTGTCTGTTTTACAGACAGACCACCACGTCCAAGGTCACAGCTAGTCCATATATGTACTGCTCCCTAGTTTCTAGTACAGGGCAGCCGCAGGCACTGCTCTGCAACTGCTCCTCTCCCTGGAGCACCGCCCACTGGCACTACCCATACCTCCACGGCCCTGTGTCCACGTGAGCAGAAAGGCCAGGGCAGGAGGCAGGCTCCACGGAGATTCCTTCATCAGGACAAGACTTGCCTGACACAAACATGGCGTTGGGTGGGTGCTACAAAACGATGTCCTGGTCCCGGCAAAAATTCCTGGCGGAGATGAGTGAAGGGACAGAAGCACTCTGGCAAAGCCATTCTGCTGAGTAAATGATGGGGTGCTTTGCCCTGGTGCCAGGATCTCACATCGCGAGCAGACAGACCCACAGGGTGTTTGTTCCTGGGCGTGGCCAAGGTTGGAAAGTGACAGCTGGCCCGAGGCTTCCTGCTGTCCTGCTGGTGGGGGAGTAACAAGAGCAGGTCAGCAGCCCTCACCCCCTTGGGCCAGCAGAATCCACAGCGTCCACTTTCCTGATGGATAGAGCTGGTCAGCGGAGGCCAGGCCGCCCCACCTTCCAGACGCTGGTGGGAAGATGGTTTCTCCCTTAAAGGTCAGACTCTGATCAGCAACTGACAGCTACCCCAGGCCAGTCTCCTGCTGTTACTTTATGGAGCCACCAAGCTCAGCTGGCCCAGAGCATAGCCTGAGGCAGCCTGGATCTCTCAAACCCCAAGTCCTGCCATTGAGTCATCTCCAGAAGTGATCCGGGGTGAGGAACTGTCCCAGCTGTGGCAACTCGGTAACCTTAGAACACTGAGACAAGGGTGGCTCTCCCAACTGACGTGGCCATCATTTATTAAATATCTTTGTTGTCACTGACAGGCAGAAGTCCATGTGGACGGTGGGACTTAGCGGGGGTAGGTCTGGGAGGAGGAGGGGAGGGGACAACCTGGAAGGGCACAGGCTGCTCCTCGGCATCCTGTCGTCTTCGGGACCAGCCGCACCACCTTCCCAAGGGCTGGGCAGGGTCCAGTGTCAAAGCCCCACTGCTAGCTGCTAGTCCACCAGGAGAGAAGGCCCAGGCCCGGCTCACTGATGGATCCCTGCCAGGGGGAGAGAGAACAGGCATGTTTCATCTACCTTTAGAGCTGGAGCCAACCTGGACAGGAGGCAATGGGGGCCCTTCCTTTTAGGTGCCCAGCACAGGCCAAAGGGAGGATGGGGCACACCCCAGCCAGGAGGCTCTGGGGACATGCCGGAGCTGCAGCAGTACTCCCCGCTGGTCCAGACTCCCCTCTCCTGCTCCAGCCTCTCCTGAGGCATGTAAGGAAAGTGCTGGTTTACCGAGGGTACAGCCCCTCACCCCTCGCCCCCAGGCCTGGCCCACACAGGCACCAGCAGACCAGTCCTGGGCCTGGCTTCTGAGCCACTCGTGGTCCAGTTCTGCCAGAAAGGCCTAGTAACCTTGAGCCCCAGCCTCCAAACACACGCAGAGGGGAAGCCTTGGGCCACTCATAATCCTGACAAAGACAGCTGCCCTAAAAGTGAACTATGGGGCCCACATTATACCAGAAAACCCTACCAGCAGGCCTCTGAAATCCCACTTTTGTCATGTGTCGCTCACTGTCTGGCTTCATGAGGATAAAAGACAAAAGGGACCCAAGTCAGATCTGGCCGGTTGCAGCTTCCCTGCCACCTCAGGCCGTGTGGGTTTGTAGTGAGAGCAGCCCTGGGGGTCACCAGCCCTCCCTTGGTTTCTTCCTCTCTCAGTCCCTTGACCCACAGCCTTGTTGTCCAGTTGGTGTCATCCCTCTTGTGGGCAGGGGTCTGACTCCCCTGCCCTCCCCAACAGCCATGGCAGCTTTACGACCTCGCTGCAAGAATTACTGCTGCCCTGGGCTTCCCTGGAGGCGCAGTGGTTAAGAATCCACCTGCCAATGCAGGGAACACGGGTTCGAGCCCTGATCCGGGAAGATCCCACATGCCGCGGAGCAACTAAGCCCGTGAGCCACAACTACTGAGCCTGTGCTCTAGAACCCATGAGCCACAACTACTGAGCCCACGTGCCACAACTACTGAAGCCCGCGTGCCTAGAGCACATGCTCCGCAACAGGAGAAGCCACCGCACCACAACTAAGAGCAGCCCCCGCTCACTGCAACTAGAGAAAGCCCACGCACAGCAACAAAGACCCGACGCAGCCAAAAAATAAATTTATAAGGGAAAAAAAAGAATTACCGCTGCCCTGGCCTGCAGAAATGGGGCTCCCAAGGGAGAAGGGACTGCCCAAGACCCCACAACAGGGACCTGCACCCTGACCTGCTGGGTCCTCCCGCCCCGCGGTTCCCCGCAGTCTTATCAGGACAGCTCACCACAAGTGTGTACGGTGCCTCCTTCTTCGGCAGCTCCTCGCTGGAAGAGGTGGCATCGGCTGAGCTGGGCCCAGTGGGGGACGTGTCCACGAAGCTCTCGTCCACCACCCGGAAGCGGATCTCCTCGCCGGTGTCCATGTACAGGTCGTGCGCTCCTTCCTCCGTCTCATACTCCCACACCCACACTTGCTCTGCCTCGTCGCTGGGTGAGGCACAGGGTCAAGGCAACAACCAGGCCACGGGGGAGCCCCGAGTGCTGGGGAGTCCTCCCATGGCACGCCCCAGGAAAATCCAATCCCAGGCTGAGATGCTTTGGGAAGTCACAGAAAAAGCAGGCCCAGCGCTGTGTGCGAGAGGCAAGGTCGGGCCGGGCCCAGTGAGTGGCTGGATCTCCTGGGCACCAGGATCCAGACTGGGAACACGGACCCCGGGCAGGCACCACAGGACAGGAAGGAGCTCCAGAGCACAGCGCGAGCTCCGCCTCAACATGGAATGACCACAGCCCCTCGGTGCCTGGGGTCTGACTCTGCCCGTGTGTCCTCTCAGAGGCCGACTGCCAAGTTCAAACCTCAGCTCCACTACCCACCAGGGGCCAGGCCCAAGCTCTCAGTGCCTCAGGGTCCCCATCTGTAAAACACAGATTACAGTAAGGCCTGCCCTCCAGGGCTGCGGTGGGGAGGTAATAAAACAGCACACGTGGAAAGTGCTTTCAACAGGACCCTCGGGTCGGCCCAAGCGCTCACTGAAGCTGGCCAGCGTTCTCCACATAGTGCAATTCCACATCCCTCTCCGTGCCTCAGGACACTCTTGACAGCAGGAAGCCCAAGGACTTGCCCAGTTTCCAAGAGGACACGGCAGGATGGGAGGTCACCAGGCTGAGGGACAGGCCAGCCTGGGCCAGGTTTTCTGACAAGTTCCAGAGCCACACACAGCCCCTGCCCTGCGCGCGCACACACACGCACGCACGCACCCCGGCTCCCTACTGCCGACTCTGCTGGATGGCCCCCCTCCAATCAGCAGAGCTCACACCGAAGAGACATGCTGCCCTCTAATGGCAGCCCCGCAGATGGGGTCCTGCCCCTCCTCTGTGCCAGGTCCCATGCTGGGCATTGCAGGTACAGTCGGGACAAGATGGGGTCCCTCCTGGTGAGCGGTCTCAGTGAGCACCCACAGAAACAGCAACCCCAGTGCAGCAGGCAAGGGCCGGGACAGGGACAATGGGGGGAGCCAGCAACGGGAATCTTCAACCAGCCTAGGACCCGCAGAGCCAAGCCCTCAAATGTTAGCTGAGAGGGGGAGGTGGGCCAGTCAGGCGGGCCTCTAGAGGGAGGTGACCTTTGAGATGACTCCTGAAGGGACAACCTAAGGGAAGTGAGCTGGAGCCAGGCCTGACAGTCCAGATGGAGGCACAGGTGTGCAGACACCACGGTCAGTGTGAGAAGCACAGGCAGGTCAGTGCTTCCAGAGCAAAATGCAAGCTGGAGGGGTGGGCAGAGGCCAGCAGCATCAGGTCACAGGACCCAAGGCCACCTCGAAGAGTGAGGACCTTCCTTTGGAGAGGCCCGAGCTCCTCCATGACCCACTCTAACCTTGGGAGGATACAACTTGGCCGGCTGCTGCAGTGACTCTGGAGGGATGAGAATGTCATCGAAGAACCCTAGAGAGACTGGAAGACACGCAGGTGACAGCATCAGACGGGGCTCAGAATGGACATGCAAGCCCTTACCCTGTGCTGCCCATGGAACCCTGGGCCCCGTCCCCACCCCAGAGCCCCACGCCTCTGCCACAGCCTGAGCAGCCACCCAAACCCAAGGTGGACACTGCACGACAGGGACCAGCGGATGCCAAGGGCCACAAGTCACCTCTGCCAGCTCCAGTGCCTGCCCTGAGGTCCTGACTCACAGCCTTGCAGTGAAGGCCCCCAGCTGGCCTAGGTCCTCACAGTTATAGCACGGGGGGCTGAGTATCCCCCTTGCGCACAAGCTGCTCAGACAGCTCGGGAAGGTTCTC